ATAGTTATCTTTATAATGATGGTGTTGCTTATAGTGTCTTTGTTGTTGTTGTTTATCTTTATTATCATCTTGGTTTGACAGAATCAGTGGCGGGAGTCCTGTGATTGGCTCCCGCTTGAAAAAGTAAGCATAAGAATGGTGCACGGACAGCAACAAACAGTCTGCTTGCATGTAGACTACTGTAAGCTTAGCCACAAAGACTCGAAGGTTGACAGCTTGTCAGTTGCTTCGTGATGAATACGAAAGCATTTTCGAGGACGGCACTGGATAGATGACGGTGAGCCGAGTAAAGTTCCACACGTATCTTGGCATTACCATAGACTTCACGACGTAGGGTCAATGCAACGTATAGATGTACAAGTACGTTGACGAAATTCTGGAAGCCTTTGAGAGGCAGCACCAGAGGAAGGGGACACGAAAACTAGAATTAGTGCAGCCCCGAAAGAACTATTCATAGTAGACGAATCTTGCAAGAAGCTCCCAACGAACAAGGCAGACACCTTTCAAAGCCTGGTGGCTAAAGTGTTATTCGCTACGAATAGAGCCCGACCAGACACAGGTACTGCGATATCGTTCCTCACGAATAGAGTAAAGGAACCAGATAGGCACGATTGTGATAAACTAGTCCACCTCTTGCAGTACATTAGATGTAATAGAAAACTACCATTAGTTCTCAAAGCCGACTGAAGCGGCATATTGAAATGGTATGTTGATGGTTCTTTCGGAGTCCATCCAAAAATGAGGGGTCACACCGGATGTGGTTTGACCATGGGCAAAGGTTACCCATTATCGACTTCGACGAAACAGAAGTTGAACACGAGAAGCTCAACTGAGAGTGAACTCGTCACAGTTGATGACCTGATGCCATCGATCCTTTGGACGAGGGAGTTCCTTCGGGAGCAAGGCTATGTAGTTAAAGAAACTTTAGTCTATCAGGACAACAAGAGTGCCATCTTTCTAGAGAAGAACGGCAAAACTTCTAGTAGTAAACGAAAGAAGAACATCAACATATGGTACTTCTTTTGTTGAGCGACCAGAGTCGCAAGAAGGAGACAATCATGTGGACTGGTGTCAACTAGATGATATGGTTTTTGAGGACTTCTGGGAACGAGCCGATAACCTATGGTGAACTGTTCAAACAAGAACGTGGGACAAGTTGAATGGGTGTTGTCTGGAAACACTTTCAGAGCCAGGGCCCACTCAGGGAGGTCACGGTACTAATACACTATTACAAGCAAGTTCCCCTTGGAAGCACTCAAAACGGAGCTCTGGATCGATAGATACGCGACGGAACGTCCTCAGCCACCCATCACCAACACGTGATTGCGGCCCCGGAAGATCCAGTCATTCCACGTATACCTGGTACTGTTTCTACAGAGGAGCATTATCCAAAACGCCATCACTCCAACAACCAAATCACAAACAAACAACAGAGAAAATTCGAAGATATCGAGTTGTCTTGTTTCGGCCCATCGAGACGCTGTTTGCACTACCAAGAACTAGTCCACGATCTAACTCCTGTTCATAGTAATAGAATAGGAACTGCATTCTGTCAGTCGCAACGAGCACCTAGCAGGTATTCCAAGACGAACGACCGAATCAGAAGACAATGAAATTCATTCTGTTTGCTCAGCAAGAAATCGAGCTGATAATCCTTTGCTCAGCCATTGCAAATTCACTTTCATGCTCAGTCCATTATCGACAAACAAGAAAAACGTCCTAGTCCACCCCGCGAAGCCAGCCAAACCACGAGTCGTACATCCGTACCTACTCGGCCGATTATCGTCATACTGGGACTGACTGATTCCGATAGCAAGCAACCACCTTTGCGATTTCCCGATGCCAAGAAGAACTCAGTATCTACACTACTCACCCACACAGGTGAATCGGTAGAAACTTCTTCCTGCTACGCAACAATGATATTCGGTGAACTCGATTTGCAAGAACAAGAATTTGGCTGCCATCCCTCATTGCAGAGTACCACCACGGGCAGGCAACAACATCTCATTCTTCCAACGACCGATCACGACCATTACACAGCACCTCCTACACGATCGTCCACAAGAATTAACACACGCAGTACAGAAGCACCAGCTCTCCCTCATTGAAAACAGTGAAGATCGGGCAAGCAAACACTTCTCCACTGTGTACACGAATTCCCACCGGCAAAATCCACTCGAATCAACCTATCTCCTCAACCAGACGGAGTTAGAAAGGATCCAAAGCAAGATAGCCACAACAAGCTATCAACAAGCTCTATCCAACAGAACTACTGAGCGCTAGCTAGCACTGACTGCAAGGCCTCCAGTCAACAGGAAGCTCAACTCGCAAGTCTCCTAAGTCTCCAGTCACATAAATCTTTGTGACGCCCCTAACTCTTCTACCCCTTAAGTCCACCAATACCCAGCCCCTTAAGTCTCCCTTCCTTGAAATTAAGAAATTCCTTGGATTTAAGAAATCACACCCCACACCACCACTCCTTCCCCCTCATACAGCATCACTGCTTAGGACACTCCCCAGACGTAAGCCAACACCACACTCCACAGCACTCCCAGGATCCCCACCCACAGCAACCCTTGCCTACAAGGCTCCACCAGGCTCCAACCCAACAGCAACACCTGTATCCCCAGCACTCCTCAGAACCCACCACAGCAACACTGCTCCAAGGCACTCCCCAGGACCCACCTATAGCACCCCTGCCCCAAGGCACTCCCAGACATCCCCCATCACTAACCACTGCTCACAGCACTCCCAGGAACCCCACCACAGCAACCTTGCTCCAAGACACTCCCCAGCAACCCCACCACAGCAACCCTCCACACCACCACGCTCACAGAACTCCCCAGGATTCCCCACCACCAGCACCCTGCTCCAAGCTCCACCCAGCAGCACCACTGCCCACAGGCACTCCCCAAGACCCCCACCACAGCAACACTGCTCCAAGGCACTACCACAGCAACACTGCTCCAAGGCACTCCCCCAGACCTGCTCACAGGCACCCCCCAGGCTACCCAACACAGCACCCCTGATCCAAGGCTCCACCCAGGTTCCAACCAACCCACATGTCCCAGCACTCTCAACCCCCTCACCACAACAACACTGCTCCAAGGCATTCCCCAGGACCCACCTATACCACCATGCTTCTTAGGCTACTCCGCCGACCTTCCCCAACCACACCAACTGCTCAAAGGCACTCCCCAGGATACCCAACACAGCACCCCTGCTCCAAGGCACCCCCCAGGCTCCACCCAGCAGCCCCACTGCTCACAGGCACTCCCCAGGACCCCCCACCAAGGCACCCCTGCCTCCAGGCACCCCCCAGACCCCACAAGGACCTCCCAACACCACCACTGCTCACAGGCACTCCCCAGGATCCCCACACACACCCCTGCTCCAAGGCTTCCACCCAGGCTCCACCCAACAGCAACACTGTCCCCAGACACTCCTCAGAACCCCCACCACAGCAACACTCCTCCAACACTGCCCCCAGGCCCCCTACAGTACCACTGCTCTCAGGCACTCCCAAGGACCCACCTACAGCACCACCCACACGCATCACAGCACCCACCAGATACAAACAGCAGCACCCCTGCTCCAAGGCTCCACCCAGGCCCCACCCAACAACAACACTGTCCCCAGGCACCCCCCCAGACCCCCACCACAGCAACACTGCTCCAAGGCACTCCCCAGGACCCACCTATACACCCCTGCTCCAAGGCACTCCAAGGACATCCCACTGCCACCACTGCTCACAGGCACTCCCCAGGAAACCCCCACCACAGCAACACTGCTCCAAGACACTCCCCAGGACCCCACGACCTCCCAACACCACCACTCTCACAGGCACTCCCCAGATCCCCACCACAGCACCCCTGCCTCCAAGGCTCCACCCAGGTTCCAACCAACAGCACCACTGCTTACAGGCACTCCCCAGGACCCCCACCACAGCAACACAGCTGCTACAAAGGCACTCCCCAGACCCCACCAGAACCTCCACCACCACGCCTCACAGGCATTCCCCAGGATCCCCACCATAACACCCCTGCTCCAAGGCAACCCCCAGGCTCCACCCGAACAGCAAACACTGCTCCTAGGCACTCCCCAGACCCCACCCACAGCAATAACACTCTCCAGCACTCCCCAGGACCCACCTATAGCACCACTGCTCTTAGGCACTCCCCAGGACATCACCAACCACCACACCCAAGACGACCTTTCCCAGGACCTCACTTCCACCTTGTCCAACAACAAGGACCCCAGGCCACCACAGCGGAAGCCCTAGCAAAAAACTTTGAAAGCCTCCCGCACCATACAAGATGACCTCAAGCAGCAAGTCTCCCCTAATGGAACCACCTTTTGCACCCACCCAAAGGAACCGCTGACAGGACCCAAAAAGGAAAACACAAGAAAGAAAACAAAATCCCAGTCTGAACACCAACACACAAACCAAACCAGACACCACCATCTCTCTCTTTTTGTAGCTTTATAATGATGGTGTTGCTTATAGTGTCTTTGTTGTTGTTGTTTATCTTTATTATCATCTTGGTTGACAGAATCAGTGGCGGGAGTCCTGTGAGTTGGCTCCCGCTTGAGAAAGTGGGCCTTCGTTATTCAATCGTGCAGTGGCAGTCTGGGAACAGTACTATCTGCTACCTCCTACTGCTTCTGCTCGGCCTCAACAGGATAGGTATCAACTGCTGCGGTATCAAAGGGGCTACAAGCTAATCAGGATCGGTCTCAATCTTTTGTACTATTTTCTTAACTATGGTAGAAAGGACGATCCTTTCTTGCTGCTTTGCTGGGAGATAAGCCAACTGCGCATGCTGGAGTTGTAGGCCAGCATAGCTGTTGGAGCTATCCCAGAGGAATCCAGAGCTCTCGCTCCTAAAAGTTATCGTACTGAGACGGGTTTTCAGACATTAGGGGAAAATCATCTGCATGCATCAGGACAAACTTTACAGCGCGTTTGATGCTTCCAAACTTATTGCCAACACTCTTCCTCTCAGATTTCGACAGTTCATCCCAGGAGTCACTTCTCTGATCCAATGCGTAACCAGCGCGGTAATCATCAGCGAAGAACGCAGTAATTACTTCTGTCAGGCACGCATACTTGGAAAGGAAATTGACACTAAAGGAGAACTTGATAAGACACTTGGGAGGGGCAGTTGGTTTTGGAGCTTCTCCTATTAGGGTTTTCTCAAGTCGTTGGATTGCCCGTGTCATGTTGCATATTTGCCCTACAATGAAGGAGCTGGTAATTTTGCTTTCTGTGCCAATTGCATTGCGGATGTCGTTGAGCATGTGTCTATGCTTTTGGAGCTCCATGTGGTTTGCTTGTGCTAGTGAGCTGCGAGCATTGAAATGATCAATGATACACCGGGGATCCATGAGGATTTGCGTTCCAATCGCTGCACCACCATACAAGGGAAACTTCTCGATTGGGAGTGCTGGCATGTTGCGAGATAGGAAGGCTTGGCGAGCTTCATCTACCCATCGAGCGCAGACAAGCTGCGCTTGCCCAGAGCAGCTAGGCACGACTAGTAGAGGATTAGGTGAGTGGAGAGACTCGGCCATTTACTGAGCCGACCGTCTCCAGTCCCCGGGGTACCATTGGGGACTGGGGAGTCCCGGATGGATCCCACACTGCGGAAGGGAGTCCCGGGAATGTGATGTTCCACGGGACAGCCTTCAGTCGTGCAACCAGGGAGGGAGAGGTGGGTTAATCTAATCTAGGTTCTTGCTTCCAGCATCGGCTGAATGAAGAATTGTGAGCTGAGAGAGAGACAACCTTTTTGTGGTCAGCAGTTCAATGGCTGATCTTGGCTAGGTCGCTGGCTTTAGTGATTCATGGTTGCTGCTGTCGATCTTGCCAAATGTGGTCTTGGACGGGCGTCGTTGCCTTAAGGGTAATCTTGTTCGAGAGGCATTGAGGAGCTGATGCGGTGCATCATCGTGTGGGGTATCCAATTTCGGAATGCAGGTGATGACCTGCGAGATGTAGAGATGTACTTGAGTTGTAGGTGAGGAGCATGGGAATTAATTTTGCAAATTGTGAGATGGTCCTCTCGGCAACCATGATTAGGGTCATAGTTGCGAGAACCCATCAGGGTTCGAGTTTCCACGCTGCGGGGCGTGGAAACTCGGATGGGGGGTTCCCCAGGCATGCTGCTGCTCAACACCGAGCGCAGACAAGCTGCGCTCGCCCAGAGCAGCTAGGCATGACTAGTAGAGGATTAGGTGAGTGGAGAGACTCGACCATTTACTGAGCCGACCGTCTCCAGTCCCCGGGGTACCATTCGGGACTGGGGAGTCCCGGATGGATCCCACACGGCGGAAGGGAGTCTCGGGAATGTGATGTTCCACGGGACAGCCTTCATCTAAGAAGCGCATTTTTAGGTAGTGCTAGAATCGACATGCGTGCAGGTACCAAACGCCAACCAGCACGATCCCGATCTGTGACGTAATTTCTTCCAAGAATGCGTGCAGTGATTGGAATCGGGATTGTGTGTTCCACATGGGCATGCAACGAAGGCCCGCCCGGCAAGACTGCCTGCTTCACGATTTGGGATCCACTTTTTGGACCGTCTTTTCGGGAAGGCAAACCCTCTCTTTGGTACCATAAACTATATCCCGATTCGTAAGCGGGCGGTTCCCCAGCACACAGAATCCAAATCACCAGCCAGTGCACCTAGTAGCAGCTAGTGTTGGCTAGCTAGCTTGCAGCCATGCATCATCAAAAGGAAGGAGTATGAGTTGCCTTACTGCAATTAAAATTCAATCTGTGGGATATCAGCAATCTCACATCCAACAGAACAAGCGCTGCCCCCAACTGATGCAGAAAGCCCTTGGTTTGGACCTTGCTTTCAATCTATAGGTGCTAGACAGACAAGATCAATGGCCAGAGCTGATCAGCTTGTTCTCACTGACACCGGTCGACCCGCAAAAGCACCAAGAAAGGCAGCAAGAGGACAAGATTCCAGGGCAGCCAGTCCACAAGGATTGCAGGACGATGATGCCCATGCCAGGGCCACACTCCAAGGTAGTGGTAGTTCCAAAGAAGACACAGACCCTCGGAAACCTGCAGCCCCAAATCTCGATCGGCAACAAAAAGGTGCCGATGGGAAGGAAATGGGGAGCTAGTTGAGGATGGTGATTTCCCTACCAACATTGATCTTTTCAACGCGGATTCGGATAGTGAGCCTACCAGTGAAGACAGTGAGCTCAGTTTGGAAGGGTCAGTTGCCACATTGAAAGGTGACAACGAAGAGGACTGGGATGATAACGGCCCCCCAGACGAAAGAAACATAAAAGCATTCAGAGCCTACTGTGTCAAGGCAAAGAAATTACCCGAGCTAACCGAATCGGAGAAGCGAGGGGTCAAACTAATGGATATCCTCCCTAGGAAAAGGACACCTCTGGATACCTATGATGATCTACTTGCTTGGCATTTGGAAGAAACTGGGTCGCTAATGGACACCTCCTTCAAGTCAAAGAATCCAGGACTGAACTACTTCAGCAGGAAAAAACTGCTCCGAATTCTTAAGGAAAGTACAACATGAGCGACAAGTTACCTTTTGAAAAGGAGATAGTCCTTCCTCATTGCCATGCCCGGATCAAAGTCATTTGCTTCAGTGCTCGGAATTGTGTTGAGCAATTGCTTACCGATCCACGCCTCAACAGATGAGGATTTCTGCTTTTTCAATGATGATCCGATGGCTCCACACCTGAAAAGGCGACCTAGTTGGGTGAGTTGAACACGGGCGAGGCATACCGAAACGCCTTATAATGAATACCTGGATGACATTGGGTCCAGTTCTACATTGATGGGGCAGTTACGGCCAGTTTGACAACCTTTCAATTACCGCTTTGAAGATGTCATTATCCTGTTTCACCCTTGACTATCGGAAGAAGGATCAAGCCGGGCGATTGTTGGCTTTGTGGTTAACTATTCGGAAGGTAAACCAGAGAAAGAAGATGTTTGCGGATTCTCGTCATGACCAAGCACTTGAGGATTTGAAGGTATGTTTGTGGTAGGGAAGGAGAAACCTCCAATAAAGTTACAAAAGCGCAAGACTTTCATGCCCAAATTGAAACCATCTTGAGCAACTACATCCCCTTGGAGACGAATTGGATGGTATGGGACCTTCCTTGACCGAGGAAAGCTCTACCGAAACAAGACGCTGTGGTTCTGGACTGCAATGGTGAGGGCTGTGTATCGCTGCTGACTTAGGACACCGATGAGCAGGAGTCTCTCTCCTTTT